GCCGGTCTAGAAACTCTGCGTATCTAGAGATATTGACCAGGGCCTACACCAATATTCTTAACACCACTTATTAAAGGATGCATGCATCAAGGGGTAGACATCGTTCAAAAGACATAAACATGACCGGGTCGGTCAGGGGAAGGTTTGCATACGATGCAATTTGTACATGCAAGCTCATTTTTCACATATAAATTAATAAAGTCGATTCCTTGGGAATACGTTATTGGGTTTATAAGCGTAACGAGGAGAAGCGATGGGTTCGCACCCCCTCCTACAAGCAATAAAAGGTACCATAAGGTAGAGGAAGAAAAGAGCATTAAATTGATTTTTTGTTTGAAGCTTCTAGCTCAGGTTTGAAAGAAGTTGCATAATTTTCGTAAAAATTCAAAACAACTATTTTTTGCCTCATTTATGTCACGATCGCACCCCCCGACTGAAAACCTAAAATATTTTGGTGATTGCATCACCCCTCCCCCCGACTGAAAGCTGGCTACGGCCCTGGGGTTTTATCGAAAACTATATCATCAACATTTTATCATTATGCGGAAAGTCCAATATGAAATCTTGAATGGTAAATATGTTGCATTTATGGAGGGAATTCCACTGTAAACTATAATGTGAATGTTTGATATGAATACTTCCATCAATAACAATCAACAACCATCAATATCCATTCTTTTGAAATAAGATGTTACAACAAAGGGAATATTGAAAACTACAGTGGTAAGAGCATCTTTCTGACTGCTAATTATGTGTATCAACATTTTGATTGCACCTCAGCTGGAGATTAAATCTTATAATAATTTGATCAAAGGGATTGTAATTTTCCCCAATTCGCTTATCTATGTTACAATCTGTATACTTGTTATATTGTGAGCGGTATGTGTTGATAAACCAAAAATATATGTTTTTTGGATATCAACATTTATAGAAAAGTGTAAGATACCATTCTATATATTTTCTTAGTGTTTAGCATAGGTAAGAATGGGGGATGGGCTGGCGGGGGTCCGTCTTTGAATAATTCCAAGGGGTTCATATATTATCACAATTTTGCTACAAAATCACTTGGAAAGTGCATGATTTGAAAGATTAATTGGCCAAGGCGTCCGCTATTAACATGAGTATGAATTTTATAAAAAAATTACTTGAATCAAAATCGAAGAATTCCTTGCCCCGTGTGTTCACCATTCACGCCGGGGGTTCACACTCGGCTCAGGTGGGGTACCTTTTTTACATTTGGTATGTCAAGCCAATGGACCCACATTTTAAGACAGATTTTTCCATTTTCTGGTATAAGAGTCGGTGTGGAAAATATGTTACCCCTCAATTGTGGTACGGCATTGGTCCCGGGGCATTGGTCTAGTTGTTACACATATCCTTCATTTGAGGTTGTTTATGATCATTTTACTCAAAGATCTGCCTTCTTCTCGGCGCATTCGATATTTCGAATGGCCTTGGTCTTATATTCTGGATATTTGGTACCCGGGGGTATGGCATTGGTTCTATATTTGGATGTTTGACATGGCATTGGTCTTGTTTTTGGACATTTGATATGGCTTTTTGGGGTTTATTTTAGTTTGTATGAGAACACATTTAATGCCACCCCCCAAATTACAAATCTACATCTATTCTCTCTATCCCAAAGGTGGATCGGAAGCATGAAAAACAGATGCAGACTCGGGACAGTTGCGAGGGGGGCTATAATGGAGAAATTCGTTTTGATTTTGAGTCTAACTGAAATATTTTGTCACAAATATTAATTAAATACGCAAATAGCCTGTTTTATTAAATGAGACTAGGGCAAAAAATCTATTCATTAAATCTAAAGCCTAGACGATATCTTCTGTAATCAAGGTGGTTTTGGTACACTTCCGCAATTATAAAAACAAAAACATAGACTAAGTTATTAATCTTTTGTTATCATATCAGATTAAGTCAGTTTTGTCTCCGATTGTTATGCAGGTGTGTGTATCGACTCCACTGAACAACATTAAGTGAATCAATCCTTGAAATTCCCAAATTCATTCCAAATTCTGGCCGTTAACCCCCCCCCCTCCCCCATGTCTCTTAATTACATTTATTTTGCAAATGATATATAAATTATAGATTAAAATATTTCATTTTCGAATTGCACAAAGGGCAACATGTGAAGATAAAACCGCGATCCTAAAGCTACTTGCGAAACAAAGTGGTTTATGGTCCCCAATATCATTATTATATTAATACCAATACAATGTACCTCTATGAATATCATAAATTCACTCCTTTTTAATATCAATAGTCAAACAAATTAAGTAGTATGCTACAGTTGGTTATCAATCGGAGTTCACGACCTATTGATTACTCTTTAATACAAAATTTAACCATTTTAGAATGGGTAACTCACACCCCCCCCCCCGTCCATGTCCATGAAGTGCGTAGACTGACATAATCGTGCCATTTATTAATTAAACATCACTGATTTATGTTGAGACATTCAGTGCGATTATTTCATTTCTTTGTTCAAAAAGTTAAAGCACCAATTAAATACATATTTTTATCACACAAAAGGGGCAGAATACTTGACCTTGTATCAATTCATATCCCGATTATTCTTTACAAGGGAATGTTTCTTATTAAAACATAAGCAGCGCCTAGGCGTCGATTGGGGGGGGGGGGGTCAATCCGGTGTTCTCAGGCTATGTACAGCCAAGTATCCTGTTTATGTAAAAACCCTACGTTCCCGAATCACAATCAGACAATTAATTAGTATATTTGCTGTGTAGCAATTGATCATAGAATTAGATGTTGCGAAAACTATGGGAACTTGTACCTGTCTGTTTATGGATAGGCTGGGAAAGAACAGCAGAGAGAATGGTACATTCGATTGAATATGCTTGTTTTGCCCAATTGTGTATTAAAATGCCCCTCATTTATCATATGTATGGTCACAAGTTAAGTCGGCGATAATTTGTATTGACTTAACTTGAAACAAATTACTCCGAAATCCAAATACTCATCGAAAAGTAAGTTTATCTTTATATTAAGCTAATACAAAATAAATATATAAATAGGCCTGATGTATCAGTGTTTTCAAAGTTTATTGCACGTTTTATCCTTGAAACGCCTTTCTTTTTCTTATCATGATATGTATTTCCTTCACTTAGGATCAATGCGTCGATTAGCATTGCCTGTAACTGATTTATATTTTCAAAAGGCGGCATGAAATTGCCAAAATGTTTAAATAAGTCAATGTGTCAGCGTACATACAAAATAGTCTGTTTAATATTTGCTACATGTACTTGTTCCAAACAGTCTGCGAAAGAATGATTAAAAAATATATCAATTAAAAGTATCAGAGAAAATACTTGCAATCGTTAAAATACTGTATGTATTGCTATTGGTAATTAGGTTAGTTGTTTACACATAATTATGTTGTTCAGTGTGCCAAGAGCGTGTCAAGAGGTGTAAAGAGTTGAATTCATCGCGTGTCAAGAGGTGTAAATAATTGGCACGTCTAGAAACCCGGCGTGTAAAGACCAGTTTCTAGACGTGTCAAGAGTTGGAATCCCATATTTCACGCAGTGAAAGATATTTTCTTGAAACTGAATTGCAACATGCTAAGATGAACGGTTTCATCTTTTTCTGCGGGATACGATGCCATTCCTGCAGTGAACAGCAAATTAAATCAACCAAGGCTAGAGATAAAGACACTCTCCCTGAAAAATGGTGCAAATCAAATCATCCCACGTGTTCTTAATTCAACTCAAGTCGGTCAAGAAAACTGATCATTCAACACCCTGTTCATATTTTACCCCGAGTCGACTTCTGTGTGTATGGGCTTTACTTGCTTGAACTTAATTAATGTCTCAAACTCGATAATTGCAGATTTAGGCGCAAGGGAAAATGTAACCTCCTACATATACACTCCTACACGGTCATTGAAGGTGACATCCTAAATACAAAATTAAATTTGATCTTCTGAAAACTTATAGATGATTTGGGAAAAATTGAAGTCAGTCTAAACAGCAATGTTAAGTTATCGGAAATGTTAAGAGTTTTTTACAGACGCCAATCGCCGCCCGCCACCCGCCGATCGCCAACCACCAACCGCCGCCACAAAAAAAAGACGGAGACCATATGTCACCACTTCTTGGTGGTGATATAATAATGAACAAATTGCAAGTTCCCTAATGAACCATCATTTACAAGACTCCAACATACATGTACTGGGTCTCAATGTATGCAGACTTTTGAAAAGAGTGTAGCCTTCACACAGGCACCAGTTGATCAAGTCACTCAATATATTACTGTTTGTCACTATATCTCACCTGTCTAATCCCAATTCAAATCCCGATTTTTAATTACTCATCCTGATCTTTTTTCAAAACCCCGATTTTTTGTTCCCGATTTTAAGAAAATTGTCCTGATTTTTTCCTAAAATACCCCGAATAAAATATCCCATATTGTATCCCGAATTTTATTTTTACTTGACAGGTATGCTATATGATTATATGGTTTGATTGTCATTTTTCTTTCCTTGGCTATTAATGCTATTAGTTCATTTGTCACTCCTATGCATCCTATAGTGAACCTATGAATTGTCTTTTGGTTAATTTATGACGATATGGGTTTCCTGAAGAGATTTAGCTGGGTTGGACAAAAAGTTAGTTTGGGGAAAAAATAATAGACTGAGGCTAATTAGCGAGGCCATAATTGAAATATTGATTGTTTTCTATATCTTGAAATGTAAATATGAACGCAGCATAATTAGTTTGTCAAAACTTGTGTTTTCAGGGTTAATGAATAAGATATTGTTAAAATATACAAGAATAACTTATGAATTAGAGTGCATAATTGCAACCCTCCAACCTTAGCTCCCCCATTGAACTACGTTTGAATTTTTATTTACTTACCCGGCGATGAAATAACTTATAATATTGATGGAAACGTAACTTGACTTTATTTCCAATACCTTCAATTTTTCTCAATTTTTTCCCTCAATTACTTATAGGTTGAAAAGTCAGATATATGGTAATGTTAAAAGATACAATGATAACTTTTTAGATATTGTGCATATATGCAAAATAGCATATTTATTATTGTTATTTCGCATTTATTCAAAGTATTTAGTTTATCAAGCTTGCAGTACAAAGGAATGACTAATTGGTGGTTTCCTTAAATTCTTAGTAATTTAATTGGGTTGCCAATTATTGGATTTCTAACATATCTTAGAAAGGAAAAATGATAACCTGGAGACCCATGTGTTCAGCGTCAATGAATAAGATAATGTTAAAATATATAAAAATAACTTATCAGATAGTGTACATTAGAAATAATAACATGAAACAGATTATTGTTTAAAAGAATATAATTATTTCTAACCGGGATTACGATCAGTTTATCTTTGAGTTGAGTCGTGAAAGTCTTATATTATTATTTATTTAGAAAATATCCAGGTCACACACTATAATAACAGGTAAATCAAAGAAACTAATCCGTCAATTAGAAGCTTTAAAAATGGCTAATTTAGCAATAAATGAATCGGATCGAATTGAAAGCGTATATTCAAACTCAGTTGAAAGACCACTGTAGAGAACTTCATATAGTTATACTAGGTTAAATCAATGTATATTATATCTTTTAATGTTCAAAAACAAAATCATATCGTAATCCAGCGGTAGCATATATGTAAGGAAATCCTCTGCAGTTAAGTTAGTACATTGAAACGTGATCTCTCGACAGTTTTTATCTTGTAAGCATGCATCCTCATGGTCACACCATTTATTGACAAACGAGGGTCGTAGTTTGGAGGGCATCCGTCAGTTTCAGGGTACAGCGTGTAGCGCTGGAGCAAGGTGGTCATGAACAGGAACATTCGGATCTTAGCCAACTGTTCTCCGACACACACCCTCTTACCACCTCCGAATGGCAACAAACTACAATAAACCACAAATTTACTCTACATCAATAGTGTATTAGAGGTAACCCAAATCCCCAAAAATCCACATAATTTCTGCTCATAAATTGAACAAAATACGTATAGCTCACGTACTGTTTTCTCTCATGTACCGGAATTAAATCACCTTCAGAGTCAAGGAATCGTTCAGGTTTAAACGTGTAAGGATCCGGGAAGAATCGCTCATCGTGATGTAGTCCGTACAGATTCGGCCAAATCTAAATATAGAAATCACTTTTTGATGTTAAACCCAGTATATTTCGTTTTAACACAGTTATGCAAATACTGAAAAATGTTGTAAATGATACATGTTTGTTGAATTGATTGTTGACCTGGTTGTTGATAAGTTTATCTTACCTAATGTTACATGTTTGTTGAGCTTATTGATGACCTAGTAATTGATAAGTTTGTCTTACTTGTGTGTCCTTAGGTATGAAGTATCCTCTTAACGTGACATCCTTCAATGTTTTATGTGGCACAGATATTGGAACCTCTGACATGTAACGCAATCCTTCTAATATGAACGCCTCCATATATGGCATTACGCGTCTGTCCTCATATGTCGGTAATCTAAAGTTTTTTATGACATATACAGTAAATGGTAACACAAAGGCAATGGTGCAGTCAGTTAGCAGTATAATTGCACTTGCTATATAAGGCACCCTTTTTGACCAAAGTATCATTAATACATATATTTTTGATATCTATAGAAGTGATGTTAAAAAGTGGTCCCAGTGGATGATAACCGGCCTCGAAAATTTTAAACGTTTCCATTGAGTCCCATGTTAATCTATTAATCTTCAAAATACCCCCTGCAGAACAGTTCAAGAGCAATAAAGTCAAACTTCATAGTATGTTAACATAGCTTGAATGTTTTCAAACATAAAAGGGTTACAAGCTGGATTTTGTCTAGTTCCAAAGATATTGACGTTTGATTTTTGGGAAATTCCATTGACCGCCATTAAAAACTACTATCAATATGGCTTTACTAAAGTTTCATTTTCTCCAAAAGTCCACTATGGAATTTTCTGATATTGCAGATTTCTATAGCTAATATATTGACTTTTAAAACACCAAACAAACACATTTCTAAAATGTTCTTATTTTTAGTATGTTTAGCAATTTAGTTGACAAAAAAACTATGTTGCCATGCCATTATGTTGCTGACGAAAACTCCTTTGAGTCCCATGTTAATTTATCAATCTTCAAAATAAGATCCCATGTAGAACAGTTCAAGAGAAATAAAGCCAATCTTCCTGCTAAAACATAACTTAAATGTCTTCAAAATATGAAGGGTCACAATCTGGATTTTGTCTAGCCCCAAAGATATTGACGATTGAATTTTGGGAAATCCCCATTGACCGCCATTATAAACAACTATCAGTATGGCTTTACTAGATAAAGTGTCATTTTCTTCAAAAGTTCAATATGGAATTTTCTGATATTGCAGATTTCTATAGCCAATATATTGAATTTTAATAAAGCAAACAGGCACAATTTTAAAAAAATATTATTTTTAATATATTTAGCCCTCAAGTTGACCGAAAATCCCCATCGGTTACCATTATAAACTGCTATAAACATGGCTTTACGAATAAAGTGTACTTTTCTTCAAAAGTCCACCATGAAATTTTCTGATATTGCATATTTCTATAGTTGATAGCGTCTATGTTGTCTTTTAAAAAACCAAACAGGCACCTTTCTAAAAAATATCTTATTTTTAATATATTTAGCAATTAAGCTGACAAAAAAAGTTGAAAATCCCCATTGGATGCCTGTCGTTATAAACCACTAATGAAAAGTCCTCTTCCCCAAACGTCCTCTATGCATTTTTCTGTTATTGCAGATTTCTATAGTTAGTAGTCCATGGTATGATTTCTAGGACGTCTGATTAAGGAGTTGGTGACATAATATATGCGCAGCGATATTTGACCTTATATTTAGATACCTACATATGACACGCGTCTTGTTTTGTATGGCCGTTATAAATACGACGGGCTTTTAGGTCGAATTATGCCTGTCACTATCAAGGGTCGAAAAACGTATAAAAACTATTTCGTATTTTTTTCACAATTTAAAGTACAAACATTAAAAGAAAATCATATGAAAATATTTCAATATATACATCAAGTTCCTTGGCTATAGTTTTGCGGAATTTTTTCTTTAAAATACCTTATATAAACAAAATCAATGTTTCAACATTTATATCGTTTTTGGAGATATTGGTGAAGCAATCAATATATTGGCACCTTTATAAACTGTGAATAACATATATTTGTAATATGTTAGCTTTTCACTACATTAGTTGTTCATATACATTTTGAGATATAGACGACCGTATTCAGGGGTCAATTGCCAATAAAGGGGGACTCCTTGCTCTTCCTTTACTTAACCGTCTGCATATGGTTGAATATGAATAGGTTGCTTATAAAAATACTACCAACATTCGATAGTATTTTTGAGAAATGTCGGCATGTAAACAACGAATCGATCGAATGCATTGCAGAGACAAATGTTTTTACTAGATATTACACTGTTTTTACAAATAAAAAGTCGGAATTCTGAAATTACAATGTACGCACTTAAATGGAAATGGGAAATATCTGTCAATCGCTTAGTTCTGCCATCTGTTAAAGGGACAAAGTGCAAAAATGAAGTCTGACTTTTGATCTTCATAGTATTTCCAATGGATTTGACACCAAAAACAGCTAAAACAGACAACATCAGAGTTGACACTAGATCATGAAAAAATATTCTTGATCTATGAATTTATATAGATGTCAACTTTTTAGCAATGCCATAGAAAGATGGCATTGTTGTTTGCATTAATTGTCCATTCATTTTTGATATGATTTTCAACCATACGCCATCTTTTAGTCCAAGAGTTATTCAAAGACATACACTTTGTGAAAAGTAGTATTAATTCACTTTTGATCTCTGAACTTCAAATGCTGTTTTCTATGCGAGTATTTTTTCACTTCAGTATAGACCCAAATTAAAGTTTTTATCATATTTGATTGACTGTGTGAGTGACATGTCTCAAATAATAGTTTGTCCCCTTTTCCTTCTAAAATAAGCGCATTGCCTGTTTAATATAAGATATCTTTCTCAACTGTATCACAAAGTTATGAGAAAATATCTCTTGATCTTTTTAGTATGTAATAATCTTTTTCTTAGAGAGATCTCTTTCGAGGCATGTAAAAAAGATAGCACTGATTATGATAGCATATTCGATCATTTTGTTTTATGTATGTCAGCATGTCATTGTCATCATTTTCTTTTATCTGGACATAGAAAGCGTGACCCCTAACAATGCTTTCTGATATGACAACATGAACCCTAACTTTTGTGTCTTTGATTTTTCTAATTTTGTTGTAAAATATACCCGTAATATAACTGGGAATTTTCGGAGATGGTTCAAAATAAGTGTATGTATCATTTGAATACTAACTTTTCAAAGACGACTTTTTCATTTTAAGAGACGAGGCATAGTTGAACATTTCGTCAATCCTTGTTGGGATGGGACTATCTATATTATGAAATCAATCCGATATTTATATTATATTTTTTGTATAACCCAAACACTCTTACATGTACGACAGATCGTTCCATTACTGACGAAACGCTTCGGAGTAAGAAAAATGGCGGGCGAAAATTATCAGCCGTCAAATGATTTCGATAATGGGAATATGAGGTGTGTTACTTAATTCGTGTAAACAATTCGTTGGATGTCATATTCATGTTGTACTTGGCTGGCTGTTGACGTTTGAATCAACTCGAAAGAGCTGTTTGACATATGATTAGTTGAGCCAAGATAAGAGCATCAAAGTATATTTGGGTCAAATGTCAAGTGTCAACGCACCATACACTATCTCAATCGTGAGTTGATGACCGAAACCCGTCTTAAAAATGATGACATTCTCATATTCAAGAAACGCTGCGATCAAGTTTACACAGTAAAACGGAAACACTGCGATAGTGTAGATCTGTTAAGTATATATAGCTTGACTTTCCTTTTCAGGGAAAGAGAAAATTTTTTCTGTCACTTGGCATGAAAAGAAGAAAGATTAATTTATCTATATAGTCCATGGTATGACTTCCGAATATGAAGGATCCGTAGCACACTATAGCGCAGCAACATTTGAAGCAATATTTATGGAGGTGCATATGTCTTGATTCTTTTAAAATACCATTTGCTGAAAAAACTTCCGGCTTTCGGGTCGAAAAATGGCTTTCATCACAAGGGGTTCAAAAACGTAAATATTTTGATTCGAACTTTTATACATTTTATAA